CCAGTTCAATTACCCTAAAATCATACATATTTGTCCTGTTCAGCGTACTACATCTCACCAGTGAAGGGGTCGGGACTAGGGAAGGATGTGCAAGTGGTTTCGCAGAGGGTTCCACGATTGATTTCAACTGATGTCCATCCGTTTATGGTAGCGTCTGATGTTCACATCTAATGAACGTGCTTGATTTAAAATAGTCGAAAAAGTTATCCTTCAAAGGCCAACTATTATCTGATGCTGCTGCCCAAGACATTAGACTGCTCCAATAGGGATGTGGCATGTGGGAGGAAATGCTTAATGATTATACACAGGGAAGTGCAGGCTTCTCGGCTGAAGAAAAGTTTGTCCAATAGCTTATGATATATGCCTTCTGTAAGGCTTCCACAGCGTTACTGTCTGATCTTTGGCCAAACGAAGAACAGTCGTATCAAGAATATTGATACCACAATACTTTTGGTAGTACGTAGCTGTTTTCATTGGCAAGGTAACAGATATGAGGTCATACTCTCGTAATCCAAGGCGATGAATAGCTTTCAATAACATCCAGTATCAGCCATAGCAGATAGTGATGCTTCTATGGTGTCTCGTGCCAAAGGAGAGTCAATGGAAGCATAATCCTCTTTGTTTCATCCATGCATCTGGCAGTTCATTTTGGTGGATGAGGATGGACCATTTGATTTCCGAATCGTTCGGAGTGCAGTGATTGATTTGAGAGACGTTAACAATCGTAGGGTATCGAACTATGTGCTCCCAGACTAAGTATTCCGGTTCATAACTTTGGCTTTTTCTTAGTTTGACACACATGGCGGTCACAGTTGAAAATCTTTCTTTCTGCATTACGAATATGGTTCACACTTGGAGCTGCCATTGAGTGCAGGCTGACCGTTTTTGTTCTTCCGGTATGTGTTGCTAGCAGCTTTCATATTGTGAATCTTGCATGCTTCCTTTATTTCAACAAATCGCAACACTTCCGCCAGGCTCATGTCCTTTTCTTTTATCTTTGAGCAGGTCAATTTGTATTAATTATCTTGCGGTCCTGTCTCATGTAATGTACTATTACTCTAGCAACTATAATATTTCTGCTCGGAATGCTAGTTTATTAAGTGTGGCTAGAACATCGTCAACTGTTTTGTCAGTACTGCTGCAAGTGTTAGGTCATTGTTATGGCAACATTCCAGTATTTAGACCACTTCCTGACGACCAGTTATTTTTTTTGCGCTTGCATAGGGTGTCAGAGACTATCCAGTCCTCGCTGTTTCCTGCGGCACTGACTTTGGGTTTCTTAATATGTTCAACCTTAGCGACTGACCTTGGTGTGTGCAGTGGGCCATGATAGAGCCACGACATAAGTAAAGGGACAGCCAGGTCATCCGTGACGGATTTGCAGCCTTGGTGCTGATGTGGCGATGTCTGTCTGTAGATCTAGTGTCCATGTATGGAACTATTGTTTATAGTCAGTAATGGTCATGGTATGCAAAAACACACGAATTAAAAAAAAGGTTAAACAATGATACACGCAAGTAACGTAAAATCCTGTAGATTGCCCTGTGCATTTCTATATCACAATCAAATTTAGTATTTAGTACATTGCATTTATAAAGTATTCGTCAAATTAGAGATACATTTACAAGATTGTCTATCCTGATGTTCACTCCAAGTAAATATAATGCGTTTAATGTGTGATATGATAAATGGAAGATTGGTCCATTACGTGTTTTCTCCTGTATGCTGGTATCCACGGTATGGAATATGACAATATAAGGGAAATAACTCCTACACGATAAATTCAATATCAAAGTATAACTTGGCTTGTAAAAGGATCGACTTTACGGGCAGCATTTTGTGCTGTTCTGGGGAAATCAATACGCACAGTTTATAACTGAAATAAAAATAAAAATACTTATTTAGATCAATTAAGCAAAACAGAAGTTTCATTTAAATAACAATATCTGTCACTTGGTTTGCATGACAAATTGTGGTTCTTTCATAAAATGCTCTGCTGCAAGAATTTTATGAGTTTGATCTTTGTTCGTAAAAGTCTTCTATCATTTCCAACAAATCTTTTATAACGATTCCCTTGCCATGCACTTTCGTGACAAGCAATGGGCTTTCATACTTGATTGTTAATGTGACTGTTTAATCCTTCTGCACACTCATCGGTGGCGGATCTAGATAAATCCAGTGGAGTGGATTTGGAAAACCTCCGGATCAGTTCCAGTTCCGCCACGGGTTTTCCAGTGATCCAAAATATTTTTACATCATGTATTTTTTATCCATAAAACCCATTGTCAGAAACGGCTTCATTTTTAACTGTTGTTTTGCTGTGTTTTTCCCCCTTCTTTTAACATGATGCTAAATTATCCTAGGTTTCAGTACATGAATCGCTTTATATACCTTTTGACATTGCCTTGAATTGTTTTTCCATTGTTGCGTTTTTAGTTTTGTTTTGTCTTTTTTTTTTTTACACATAGACAGTGGGATCATGCTCTGTTGAGTGTGGTCACGCTGGTCATACGAGTAAAAATGCATTTTAAATGACATATAACTGTACCATAATGACAGTGCTCTGCTGAGTAAAGTATTAAGCGGTCTACAGTAATATTAAATGCGGTGTTATCGGCCTTGTGAGTAATGTTACTAGCGGTGTTCTAAGTAGTATATTTGGTTTCATTTCATAGGAATTTATCGTTTTATTAACGTCTTAGCAGTAAAGCAATACCTAATGAAACGCAATGTCAAACGGGCAACACCAAACACATGAAGTTAGGAAACTCTACCAGTATTGGTCTGTTGTGTATGAATTCTGACACAGGTGGATCCTGTAGCACGAATTCTGCTCTAGATATGAAAACGCAAAATGTTGACAACACGAAATTAAAGCACTTTACTGTAACAAGTATTCACGATAAAAATGGAGATGTTTGGATAAGCATACCCTGCATCCTCGTATGGTACCTGTTATGAGAAAAAGGAATGCGGAGAATATGTCATTATGGGAAACGCTAATTACTAGGCTATGATTGATGGAAAACATTTCATCCGCATTAATTTTCAGGGGGTACATGGCTAAACTAAGACAATGTTCCGGTGTTGTCACTGCGAAGGGAAGTGCGATGCATTGACGGAAGTTTTAGAGCATGCAACCACCCATCACCCGGACATTGCTGCTCAATACAGATCATTGGTATTAGACGAAACAACAGGGAAGTTACAGTACCAATAAAAACTGCTTCCTTCCTGGTGTAAATAAAGTTGTGTTTGATGCAGATAGTAATACATGTAATAGTTATTTTGAAACAACAGTGGAGCATTATTCCCCCGGCTCCACGGAATTTGGAACTTCAAACATTTGTGTATGCCATTCTTTATACCACAATGCATTGATTTCATAACGCACCACAAAGACGTATTATCTTTTTATAGTATAATTCTACAGCTTTCATTATAACGTAACTGGAATTGTCAATTTATGATAAAGTTATCACCGCTGAATGCATTACTCAAAACCGGCATGGCATTATGATTTTTTTTTTAACCGCAAGATACATTACAGAAAATTGACACCACACAACTTATTAAACAAGATTTTAGCCTATTCGCATGTTGTTGACTTCTACCAGCGTTCCAAAACAAATAACCGAATGTTGTAATAAGCATGTGTATCGTGTGACAGCTACATCTATGTGACAATAGCCCAAGAAACTGACGAAGTGAGGACAAAATACACGAAACTGAACCAAAGTGTAAACAAATACACGTGTTTACATTGTAAATACTGTATGATTAGACTTCAGATTATGAAAACGTATAGAGTAATATTCAAGGAAGATACTGAAGCAAGTTTGTAAGAAAGTTTTAAGATATGTAAGAAGTTAAACGAATACATGACCTCTCAATCGTCCCGCTCGACAACTTTAAGCCGCAAGATATATTATTATTATACCTCTACTTATTTTAACCACATAAACAGGCTATTTCCCCTCTAACTGCATGCCATGGAAATAGTTCGTCTGGAGGGGTGCGATAGTTTTGAAACTATTTCCCTCGGAAAATGCGGGAAATTGAGTGACGTCGTGGGCGGGGCCTGACCGAATATTGACCAATCAGCGCAATTGAATTAATTCAGAATTCGCATTTATGTTAATGCTAATTTTCAAACAAAAAATGTGATTTATTGTTTATTGTTCATGTGATATACTTTATTTCATGTTATTGCAAATACTGGTTTTTTCTGATGTTGATTCTCAAGAAAAAATTAGTTTTGTTAATAAAGTGTCCCAACGGTTGAAAATTTGTTGTCTAATAATATTTAGAATATTGCAAGGGAGTGTTTGTATCGGTATAATAAAACAATTGAAGTATGGGTATTTCGGGATATAGCAAGTTTATGGGTATTTCGGGATATAGCAAGTTTATGATCATAAACTTGCTATATCCCTCATACCCATACTTAAACTGTTAACTATACCGCAAGTTAATTACTCGTGTGACCAGCGTGGTCGTTATCATAATATTATTGGGAATATCGGTAATGTGAAACCCATTTTAATTACATTCAGAAACATATGTAAGGTTTTAAAGTGAAAATATAATTGTTATTTTCTTTATTTCGACAAAAATCTTTTTGTCATTTCAGTTACACTAAATTAACCTACCAATCAAAGAGCATATGGTTTATTCATTATCTCCATAATTTTGGCGTGGGATGGACTATCTGTTTACAGAAGCCCGTATGTTTATAAAAAAAAACGTAATAAAAGGTATGGTGAAGGGATTTTTTTTTCATATTTACTGGTGACTCGGATTATTCGTCAAGAAAGCAAGAATATCATTAATTTAGTAAAAAGATGTATGATAATGTATATGTAGCCGGTTATTTAGTGCTTTATAGAAAGTCATAAGTCTTTGGTTTTCCCTTACGTAAATTTTAAAACGCGTCTTTTCAGTACATTAGTGTCCGGAATTTATAGAACGGTTCCTGACCTATTTTAGTGTTACCCGGATGTCACTCGTGGTCGACTCGTATTGGTTTATTTCATATTGACACCGGCAAAATGAAAGCTACATACATGTTATCGGCGTTGTCTATTCTGGTTCTGGTCATCTTCGTCAATGCTGCAGACGAGGAACAGAAAGAAAAGAAACTTGACCCTGAAACACTCGATTATGCAAAAGGATCTGTGTGTGGTTATTGTGAATACTGCCAGGTAAATCGGATCATTTTTCAGAAGTCGACACCCATAATCAATCATCTGTGCTTCCTTTCTGTATATTGTATCATAAGTGTATATATTTATCGATGTACTTCGTTTATTCTACATAAAGGTGGTTATAGATCTATGTAATTCATTATTGTCACGACACACTATACGATAAGATTTTGTTTAATCTGCTTACTTGCATGCATGCTAATATTAGATGTCTAATTTTGATAGAGTTCAAGAGTTCCAAGACTATCTACAACTTATATTACAAGACTAGTTGGACCGCAAGTGAAGGGAGGTTTGATGCATGATGGAATAGGATATAACTAACTTACCAAAGAAATGAATGCAACCAGGGGCAGTTAATAAAATAGGAATAGGCTAATATGTATTATATTAATAATAAATATACAAGTGTATTGACATCAATGTCTAACAAATCATAAAATATAAACAGGTGCTCAGATGTACAAAACATTTATGTTTTGAGGGTTATATGGAAGGTGTCATATGTTTTCCTTTTTTTGTAAAAAAAAAGAGTTAGAAACTACAAGTCAACTACAGTACCCCTCACTCTATCGGGTGGCACGATTTACCACAAACCTCCTAAAAACATCCAGATAAGACCAGAAAAAACCACAGACAACACTTAAATAATATTCAGTTATTATTATATGTAGTAATCTAATTATCTGCAGACGCAAAATAGATTGAAATAATCGGAACCTTAAAAGAACAAGTACGAATTTAACACATCAAACAATATCCTCTTTAGAGCAAATGCACTTATCAAATACAAAATAAACATAGGCTACCTATGTCAAACAATGTGGAAAGAGTGAGAAAAATACCATTATATACAACAAATATTGATCTTCTGTGAATAACTTAGGCAAACGGTAAACTAGTTTACAGGGGAAGTAACTCAAATACGTATAGTTAATATTACTCGCGTCACTATAACTTTCCAATTAACAGGAAACATCATTATGTTACACAATGTCAGGTAGCAGAAATATAAATATCCACATAAATTTAGTGTTTTGGGGTCTTTTGGGGTAAATCGTGTTACCACACTTCATCGGTCCAAAATGCATATAAAAACTAATGGAATTTGGTTACTAGAAAGTCAGAACAGCAGCATGAAAGATTTATATCTTTCAACTTCCACATCTGTCCCGTGCAAATTCATATCCAAAAGACAGAGGTAACTATTTTGATACTTCTTCTAGGGATCCGATTCAAATCCAGGAGCTTTGGCTTCCAAGTTCATGGATTAAGATGCCCAGGATTTCATGGGTTTTGTTTTGACATTAAAATTTAATAAATGCTATGATAAATTAACATATAAAATGAAACTTAATTAAGAATAGCAAGTCTTTCAATAGCTTGCACTCATACAAGAAAACTACGGTAATTGAAAAATAATAAAGTCCAATACAAGTAATTCTTTCTTTAATCAGTTGTATGCAATTTAATTTGTTTGAAAAATTCATCTTCGTATATTTTCTCAGCAAAAAGTCAAAATTTGTATTAGTCATCATGAAGAGTCTTGATGTCTTTCAATACAGATTTACAGTACACTGAAGTGAATTTGATTAATCATCTAATTGTCAGCATGAAAGCAATAAAATAACATTAAAGCTAAATTAGTACAGTATACAGGTATAAACTAAATATGAAGTAAGGGTCCTTGTATCATACCTGCATTTAATAGTTTAAATGCTTATGTCATATTTTTTGAAATTTGTGACCTTAATATAGATATATATCAAGTCTTAAAATTAAGAATTAACACTATAGACAACACCGCAGCAAGTCTTTGTAATATAGATATCTTATAGACTTTCAGAAATTTCATAGACAAGACTTTGACCCAGAGAATTTCACTGAGTTTATTCAGTGCTTCATAACATGATATTAAGAAACTGTGTAATAACAAGGGAAGAAAAGTGATTTTTAAAACACTTTTTTTCATCACTTCTATACTTGTCATTGAATCATGAAGGTCTTTTGAGAATTAAAATAAGCTTCATAGACAACTAGATGAAGTAAATGATTCCCAAAGAATGCTATTGTTTTACGTGGTGAAAATACATGGGTCTTCTGTTATTAGTTCCCACATTGCCAATATGTAGCATTACTTTATTCGTACATGTAATAGCAAGGAAATGGTCGGCCTTTTCCACCAGTACCAGACCTCACCAGGGACCTGATACTCTAGCTGTTCAAGTATCTCAATAATCAGGGCTTTATTACTAAGTACATAGTCGTAGTGTCATAAATATAACATTGACATTTACCTGTAGCTGTGAGGCAGGATTACTGTTGAAAACTCTACCTAACAGATAATATTCTGTTGAAATAGCTACACATTGGATTATCTACCCCTGGCTATATATTTTGTCTCGTTGATGGGTCGTTTTGTACCTGTATGGGGCATTGCCATGCATCAAATCAAGGTATGAGTGTTTATAAAAAGACAGGTGAAAACATGCCAGAAGCATGAATAACCTTCATTTTGATAGATATTGATTTATTTCGCTTGCACATGGATTACAAAAGTCAATATACATGGTATATGTTCTAGATAAGCTTAAAAAAACTCTTGATATTGATAAATTTTCCCTAAATGCCCTTATAATGTATTAAATCTCATCTAACCAGTTTTCTTTCCATTTTCATAAAAAAATCAATGCTACAAAGTTTTATAAAGGTTCTAAAACAAGGCAACCTTATACTGGTATTTTTTCATATATCAAAATATTAAGAATTTTTTAGTATGAAAGTTGATAAGTGTAGAAATCAATGTGCAAGTAGTCCTTTGTGTTGATTTCCCTAAGGCAAAGGAACTAGGGCTGCAACATTACAAATACATGTACCTCATGATACAATATGTGTTGTGGTACGGTACATATCACGATACAAATAACTGCTAAAAAGGAAAACTTCATCATGAATGAAGGCAGGATTTTATTGAATTTTGTCATAAAATCTAGTTTTTTTGGGTATGACTGCACACAGTGGACCACATCTTTACTGAAGGATTAAAAAAATATATGTAAACTTTTTTAGAGTTTGATAAAAAATTATTGATAATTTCAGTACTGTTAATGTATCGCGATACAGGCAAACAAAACAATTCAATGTGATACGCAAGAAAGTATCGCGATATGATACAATACAATATATTGTTGCAGTCCTAAAAGGAACAAGCCCTTCCTATTCCAAATACAAAACAAAAACCAGTTTTATTATCCCCTCGCAACGAAAGTTGGAGGGGATATAGGATTCTGTACATACGTACATGTGTTACACTCTTTGTCATTGCTCTAGCGACTTCATCCCTCAACGAAATCTCATGAAACTTGATACAAGTGTTTGGTACGGCAATGCCTTGAACAAGTTCACGTTTCAGGTTACATGTCAAGGTCACTTTTACTATTTTTACCAAAAACTTTGTCATCACTCTATTGACATCTAAAATATTTTCCTAAAGTAATTTTGTCTTCTCTTTTCACAGCTCCTTTTTTTAACCATTTGTAGATAGGAATTATTTTTTGAATGTAATAATAAAAAAAATCTGAAACAACTTAGAAAGAGGGATAGATATTATATGGTAAATATTTATTGAATACCGGGATATAATTGATAAAAAGTGACTCTAGGACTAGGAGACAAGAATGATATAGGCAGTAATCTATATCCATGATTCTACTTGTACCTATGTATTTAATATGATAGACCTGATAAATGTACATTGGTGAATTGATCACTTCAAGAGATCTTGGTTAAATATCTTTTAGTAAAATGTACTGTAAATTTACACTGTCTTCTAGTCTAAGAGCTGAACAGAGAAGATGGGAGAAGAAAATTGTCGAACTCTTGAGTAATACAGTTTACATTGCTTGATTCCTTTTCCCGGGTGATTTATTTGTACTTTAGTTTATTCTTGTTAATTGAGTAACAATTTATGTCTGGTCACTTAATCTTATCCATATGTATCAATTTGCCGTGCACGTTTCTCAACTGTAGCAGACACGATATGTCAGTACATTGAATGCTACCTCTCTGTTTCCTCCGTTAATTAAGAATGATTAATTAGCGGTAAATAAGTCCCAGCACTATAAACCACCGTCTATGTCAATGGTGTATCTATAGATTAGTTTAATTGATCTTCACTTCATTTTGTGTAGGTTTACAACCTTCCTATTGATTTCTTAGAAATTTGTGTTGGTTTAGGTTCCTGTAGTTACAACCTTCCTATTAATTTCTTAGAAATTTAGTGTTGGTTTAGGTTCCTGTAGTTACAACCTTCCTATTAATTTCTTAGAAATTTGAATTTAAATAATGTAGGGAGAAGGTGGTGGGGGCTTAATTTAACTTCATTTTTGTGTCGCCTGCGAAAATCTGGTGACGAAGGTATTCATTGTCGGCGGCGTCGCCCGCACAGAGGTTTTCATGTGATAACTTGAGTTTCCTTGGGTCGATCAAACTCAAACTTCATGCAGTGCTTCCTAACCAAAAGTGCTTGCTTGGGATTGCTTTTCAGGTCCGAAGGTCAAAGGTCACCGTTACTATAAATAGAAAATCTGTTTTAGTACGATAACTTGAGTTTCCTTGGGCCGATCAAACTCAAACTTCATGCAGTGCTTCCTTACCAAAAGTGCTTGCTTGGGATTGCTTTTCAGGTCTGAAGGTCAAAAGTCAAGGTCACTGGCTTCGATCTACCACTTGACCCACCGTGTATACCTCTGAAATGCCGCCTTACTCCAAATGTTACAGACAACACTAGCTGTTTAACATCATAATCCACAAGTTTATTCATTTATTCATGGGAAACCATCCGACAAATCATACAAATTAAACTTGGAATTGAGACAATGAATATCCATAGCAAGTTCTTTATAACTGAGAGTATTTTCCCAGAATAACAGATTATATAAAAAAAATGATGCCATCCAAAAACATAATCTATGATTATTGCTTACTTTTAACAATAT